CCCCCCCCCCGTCTCCCTTGCCCAGGACCCGGCAACCAGGGGGTGACGTCACTGAGCCATGAGCCCCCACGGAAAACAGCCTCCACTCCCGCCCGCACGACGCTTCGAGGGCCTCGAGAAGGAGTTTTCCAAGAACAGTACAGACTTGTTGAAATCGACAAAATCACCAGAAGCCATAGACCTGGGGGCCGGGAGAAGTCCTGGGCCTCGCTCATCTGCCTGCGGGCCTGGCTCCAATGTGCATGATTCCGTTTCCTCCTCCTCCTCGGCCCTCCCTGGCCAAAGCCCCGTGTGCACGCAGCTCCCTGCCGTTCCCAGAGCCTCCGCGGAGCTGAGAGGAGACAGGACGTGCCCCGGCAGGTGCCCTGGCGTGAGTCACGTCTGAGGCCCTGCCAAGGAGGGAGGGGCAGGAGGGTGGGCCTTGGGGTGCGGGAAAGAGAAGGGATTTTCCCTGGTGGTCAGAACACGGGGTGGGGGGGGCATTGGGAGCCGGTGGGTTGGAGCCAATGCTCACGGTGGGCCAAGGGCGATGTCGACGGCGCCTGGTTACAAAGTTTCATGCTTGTAACCAAGTGGGTTACACGCAGCAGCGCTGCTGCAACAATGTATCAACGTTGGTGAGTGACGTGGGCTCCCCGGTGGCCCCGCCCCCGTTTCCCAGATGGGAGGGCAGCACCCAGAGGCGTCGGGCGGTTTATCTGGAGTCTCTGAGCAGGACCGAGCCTCCCGGTACCACCTGCGTCGTCAGCATCAGCGAGATCGTTCCCCTCGCCTGCGCCTGCGGGTCCCACCCAGCGCCCCGCCCTCGGGCTCTCGCCGACCCCACCTGCCTGGCCGGTCGCCTGCTCTGTGTCAAAGCTCTGGATTCACACCTGGGCCTGACCCGCCGCCCCCTTAGGGTCTGTCCCCTGGACTCACGCGGCACCCAGGGTATCAACTGACATTAAGAATCAGAAAAAAGACACGGAGGGACCTGGGTTTGCAGCCGATCCTGGTTCGTGTTCCCTTTAGTCCCTCAGCAATAACACGCAATAACAAACAAACAAACGCCAAACACCAGGCCTCCGAAATGAGCCCCAACGAGATGCTCAGGAGGAAGGAACACGCTGACCACAAGAGGACTCCTGATCAGGGGTCCTCAAACTTTTTAAACAGGGGGCCAGTTCACTGTCCCTCAGACCGTTGGAGGGCCGGACTATAGTTTAAAAAAAAACTATGAACAAATTCCTATGCACACTGCACATATCTTATTTTGAAGTAAAAAAGCAAAACAGGAACAAATACAATATTTGTATTTGCATGTGGCCCGCGGGCCGTAGTTTGAGGACCCCTGGGCTGGGAGGACAGGATCTAAAATCATCTCTACCCGCGTCAACTGGACAACAACAAAACCTTACGTCTCGCTCCAACCACAAACGGACCCCAGGGAGCTCGCATCCGCCGTGCGACCCGATCAGACGCTGCCAAGCGGACTCGAAAAAGTGACCTTTGGCGGATGCTTTTAAAGAACGTTTCTCCTTGGAGACATTCAGAAATATCCAAGGAGCCCACACAGGAGGGGGATGAAGAGCCCCCTGCGGCCGTGGCTGGTGTGGCTCGGTGGTCAGAGCGCCGGCCCCTGTACCGAAGGGTCACGGGTTCGATTCCCGGTCAAGGGCAGGTGCCTGGGTTGCAGGTTCGATCCCCATCCCCGGTTGGGGGTCTGTGCAGGAGGCAGCCCATCCACGTGTCTCTCTCACATCGACGTTTCTCTCTCTCCCTCCCTCCCTCCCTCCCTTTCACTCTAACAAAAACCAATGGAAAAATATCCTTGGGTGAGGATTTTAAAAAATAAAGACATTTTCTTGATGCTCTTGAAGAATGACACTCAGAAACATCCCCTCAGCCCAGAACAGGAGATGAGCCAAGGGCCCTGCTCAGAGCTGGGGGTCCCCTCTCTGCATCCGTGCGGTTCCCTGCACCCTAGACCCCCCCCCCCGCAGACACTCGGCGCCCCTGAGCTCCTTACCGGGTAGCCCCACGAGCCGCTGCCCGCCTGCAGCTTGGAGTAGTAGCTGCTCCGGTTGGTGGTGCCGGTGCCGTAGTTGTAATTGTCAGCGAGGCCGTCATACATGGAACCTGGGGGAAAGGCAGGGGTGAGGACGTGTGGCCGGCCAGGGTCCTCCTCACCCTCCTCGCTGGGCATCGCCTCCATCCAGGGCCAGACGCCCCCAGAGGGGGCCAGGTCTGCGCCTCGGGGGAGAGGCAGGGACCAGAGGGGCCTGTGCTGTCCCCCTCCTCCCCCTCCTCCTCCTCCTCCTCCTCCTCCTTCTCCCTCTCCTCCTCCTCCTCCTCCTCCGCCAGGGCCTGCAGACAGCAGCTGGGACAGAAAGTCTCAGGCGACCCCCTCCTGGGGCCCCTGGGGCTCTCCGGGGGGCGTCGGCTGACACCTACAGGCCAGGAGCTGGCCCGGGGGGCCCTGGAGCAGCGCCGTCCCATTCCAGGGGATCAGCACCCCGCGTGCCACAAGGATGAGCCTCCGGCTCGGGGAGGGCCCGCGGGAGAGGGACATGCCGGCCGGAGCTCAAGGTCAGGGCCGCAGAGCAGCCTCTGCAGGTTGGAGTCCACCTGGGGGCAGGACGCCGGCTCCTCCCTCCGCCCGGCCCCCCGGGGGACCTCCCGCCCCTTCCTGCATCCCTGGCCTGAGAAGGGGGGGTGAGGATTAATTACTATTTTGCGAGCCCCGAGCCCCACAATGACAGGCTTCTGGGGCGACGGTGTCATTAGCGGCAAATGGCTTTGCATCGCGGAGCAGCGTGGGGTTGGGGTTCCTGGGGGGGTCCCCTTCTCTCCTCGCCCCTTCACCAGATGGCAGGGGCCGGGGCGGGGGGCCTGAAGGACAGCCCCTACAGTCCTTGAGACAGGCTCTCAGCGACAGGCCGGGACCCCGCTCCCACGCCCTGTCTGCCGTTTCTCCTCGGCCTCCACCATCGGCCTCCACCGTCGGCCTCACCAGTTCAGAGCCAAGTTCAAGGTGTCCTCCCCCAGGAGGCCTGTCCTGACCGACCACGGCCACCTCTGCCTCCTCTGCCGTCTGGGCCCAAGTCGCACCCCGCCCGGAGTCCCGCTCCCAACACTGCAGTGCGAGGGGCGCCGGTGACCCTGACATCCAGCAAGCCTGGGCCCCTGTCTAGTCCAGTGACGGTCTCAGGGGGCCTCTGAGAGCCTCCTGGGGGGGTGGGCTCCCCATCTTCCTCAGGGGTCGGCCGGCGGCCTCGAGGCTCTGTCTAGGGGGCGGGGCTTGCTGGAGGCTCACCTGGTACGTGAGCCCCAACCCCACCTGACACCCCCACTCAGACTCCCAAGCCTTGGGGAGGGCAGAGGGGGGAGGGGGGATTGCACCAAGAGCGAGAGTAGGGGGAGCAGCCTTAGAGGGTGGCAGGTGGCCCGGCCGGTGTGGCTCAGTGGTTGAGCATCGACCTATGAACCAGGAGGTCAGGGTTCGATTCCCACTCAGGGCACATGCCCGGGTTGCGGGCTTGATCCCCAGTGTGGGGCGTGCAGGAGGCAGCCGATCCATGGTCCTCTCTCATCACTGATGTCTCTCTCTCTCTCTCTCTCCTCCCTTCCTCTCTGAAATCAATAAACAAAAAATTTTAAAAAAAGGTGTCAAGTGTCCCTGCCTGGTGCCACCTCCTCTGTGCAATGCCACCTGCCCCCCTGTCCCCTCCCCGACCTCAGAGGCCAGGACACTGACCCCTGACCCCGTTCCCCGATCACAGACGATCCACTGGCCATTCACGGCCCCGGGAGCCGGGAGGCCTTCACATTGGTTGGGCTCCGGCCTGTGGGCAACGAGCCACGTGCCCTCTCTGGGCCTCAGCTTCCTCCTCCATAAAAAAGGGGTGCCCTCTGTGCACCCCAAGGCCCACAGGGCTCCGGGGCCCGAGGGGGGTGATTACAGTGACACGTGCCCGCTGGCCTCCAGGGACGCCGGCTTCTCCTCTCCAGGGTCGGGGTTCAGCACAAGGAAGAGGCGCCCTCACCTACGCGACCCACAGCCTCCTGGCCGCCGGCCTCGGGC